ATATATATATATATATAGGAAAACATTTAAAGCTTAACCATCGCACAAGGGTAAAAATGAAAAATAATTATTTTTTATAATAATCTATCAATAGGATCAAATCAACACAAGAAATAAGGCAAAAAATACTTCTTTTTCAAAAATAATGCTCAAATTATAACAAAATGATTAGAAACTAGTTTGAGGCAATATATCTCACAAGAGGATCTGACATCACATCAGCCTGGACAGGCCCAAAAATTTCTAGGCATGGTCATGCTCAATGTTGGCATGTGCATGCCCTCAAGCCATGTTAGCGATCCTTGGCGTTCACCATTAGATCTTGTAATGAATGTATGTGATGGTTTGTCAGCGACGATCTGTGGGAGCTCAAACCATCAGAATAATTGCGACCGCCGACAATCACTGGGGCTGCTGACATGGGTTTTGAAGCATATAAATAGGACCTCTCCATTGCCTTCGAGAATATTGAGCACTGATAAGCCTTCACACACTTGGTCATTGTCTTTGACACAGAGAATACCACGCAGGAAGAAGAAGAGTCTGAGCCTCCTCCTCCTCCTTCGAGGAGCCACTGCGTCCCGCCTCCTCAGCGGTAAACCTCTTTATCTTCTCTATTTCATTTAAGTTAGCTTTGGCTTAAGTTTATTTGAATAATTTAAGTTTGAATAAAACCAAATCAATAGACTTGGATTAGGCTTAGGCTTGGGTCCGACCTAGGTTGACCCGAACTGTCTCAGGTGTGACCTAGGTCAACTTAAATCCGACTTAAGTCTAACCCAGGTGAACCCAGGTCCAACCTTAGTCTAATCTAGTTCAACCTAGGTTTAACCCAAGTCACCCATGTCCAACTCTGGTCCAACCCAAGCTAGCATAGGTTTGACCCAGCTCAAACCAGCTCAACCCAGTTTGATATATGTTAATCCGGTCAGATATATGCTAACCTAGGTCCACCCAGGTCAACCCGATTCAACCTAGGTTCAACCCAGGTTCATCTTAGGTTAACCTAGGTCTAATCTATGTCTAACTCGGTCAATCCAAGTCCAAAAAAGATCAATTCAGGTCCAACCCAGGTTCACTTCGACCGGTCCCTTCCTTTCAGTTTCCCAAAGGCAAAGCAGATTGTGTCCTTGGTGGAAATATCAGCTTGTGACTTCAAGTACTTGTCCATTACAATGCTAAGAAAATGAAAGCTGATCAACACAAACAAGAAAAGATGTGGAGTAAATGAGCAATGGGAAGGAGTTCCATTGTGCAGTATTTTTAAGAACCAAAGGAGCCAAAATCAAAGAGGTTCAATTATTGAATCATTAATTAAAATTAAACATGATCTTGTTTTTGCAATAAATTATCTTATTCTTATTTCAACTCTCACTTTAAATAAGTAAGAAAATATGGGAACTAAAATACATTCATAAAAAAGATGTCTAGAAATAACTTGTGAGGCCCATTAGGCCAAACCAATTAAGCCGGACAAGTCAAGCCCACCAGGTCGAACCAATCAAGCTGGATGTGCAAGTCCACCAAACCAAAGCCAACTAATTACAAAGGTTTACTAAAAAGTGACCAAACGATCCATATAAAAACCATTCACATAAAAATGAGCCGGAAGACGTCTCACTTGCCAATGGAAGGGAGACCGATCTGATGCAAAAACCTATCCCATAAGAGAGTCGTTCCAGTGGATAACTGGCTTCACGAAGCACCTTTGAATCGATCAGTAGAGTTCCAAGAGTTCCTTGCGAAGGATTGAACATAGTCAATTGGGTTAGCTAGTTGATTGAACCTTATTAACTGTGCTTAGCCGAGCGAGCTGATCCCATCGGTCCGAAGCTAATGAAGCTCCACCGACCTAGTCAAGGTGCCCCTAAGCAACAACTTATCACTTGTAAAATACAATAAATTCCTTCTACTAGAAGTCAACTCTAAACCTTTATTGTATTCTTATCCTTAATTATATTTGTGTAGTATTCTGTCAGCTTCGTGGATTTTTAATTTTTAATTATTTGTTTGAGTCTGATCAACTGAGAGGCAAGTTTTAATAGTTCTTTCAGAATTGGTGTTAGCAGTATTCCGTGCAAAAGATTTTTCCTTTCTTTCCCTCGCAAGCTTTTCTTCCGCCATGGCAACGATGACTTCGAAGCTCCACAGCCGGGTAGCTTCGTCTCACCGTTTCGACGAGGCGGCGCTTCTCCGTTATGCCACGGCCAATGTGGAGGGCTTTCCCAGCGCTCCCAACCGCCTTGTCGTCTCACAGTTTGGCCATGGCCAGTCCAACCCCACCTTCCTCCTCGAAGTTACCCGGGCCACCGGAGATTTCACCGGAGCGCCGCCCTCCAAGCGCTATGTTCTCAGGAAGAAGCCTCACGGCGCGCTTCTCGAGTCCGCCCACGCGGTAGAGAGGGAATTCCAGGTATTTTTCTCTTCCCTCCATACACAAATTAGCTGCGAGTTACCTTCATGAACTTCTAGTAGAAGGAATTCGGGATCGGTGCACGAGGGCTTAAATAGGATTTGGAAAATCCATAAATCTGTAAGTCGATCCATAAATTTACTGAACTCCCGGATTTAATAAATCCGGGCTTGAGATCAAATTGAATGCAAAATTGGATTTAGTAAATTCGTAAATCCGTCGAACTCCCGCATCATACCATTTTTGTTATATTTAGTGAACTCGATGATGAATAATATTAAAAACCTCTATCAGCCCTCCCATGCGTGCTTCAATTTAGCCAAATATGAATTGGTTTGATCATTTACGTTTATTTTTCAATTTTCTTTACTTACAAAACAGATATGAAGCTGTTTTTTTTTTTAAATTCTTTGAACCCTCTCTCCACACTTTGTTTTCTTTCGTTTTAAATTTTTTTTTCTGCTTGGATCGCCACTTAGAAACAAATGCACAACTGTACTTTTGATGAACAAGATTAGAATCTACGACGTAAAACTCCTAAAACTCATTGTTGGCACATACTGCCTTTTTTATCAAATAAATTTCTTGATTTTTTGAAGAGTGGGGTTCTGCTAGAAGTGGAAGAGTTATCCGGTTACTGATACCCCTTGATTTTCCGTTCTTTGTTCTCCGTAACGGTCTACTCCATGTTTGATCATTTTCTTTTGGTTAAGGTGCTGATTTTCTTATGTAACAGGTCCTCAAAGCTTTGGGTGATCATACAGATGTTCCAGTTCCAAAAGTTTTCTGTTTGTGCAATGATCCTAGCATAATTGGGACGCCGTTTTATATTATGGAGTACCTAGAAGGTCGGATATTTTTGGACAGTAAGCTACCAGTAAGAACGCTCAAGCCTGAAGCTTATAGCTGTGCCATAGTATTTTATTTTATTAAATTTTTTTTTCTGTTGCACAGTAATTATGCATCTTCTTTTTTAATCTCTTTTGTTAGGGAGTGGCACCAGAAACTCGAACGGCTATATATAAAGCTTCTGCCAAAGCTTTGGCTTCATTGCATAGCGTTAATGTGGATGCAATTGGTCTTGGGAGATTTGGTAGGAGGGAAAATTATTGCAGGAGACAGGTAAGTGCACTCATTAAAGCTAAATGAACTGAATCTTCAGTTTTCTACTTTCTATAATGCCTGGATGATTTTGAAAATGCTAATATTCAATTAATTTTAAGGATAATTACGTACATAGCATCCAAAACAGTGGTATTTAAACAATTTAGCACTCATATGATATTTTCAAACTAGCGAATCAATGTATTTACGCGTTCCACGATCAAACCCTTGAGAATTTGATTTAAAAAAAAAAAAAAGGTAGAGGGTTTATCATGAGTTTTGATATTTGTGTGAGAATTTGAAAAATGGATGAAAGGGAGTGCTAGATTTGTCAGCAACAATGTTTCAGATGCTTTTTATGTAAACAATCCCTTATTTTTTGTCTGTTTTAATTTTTGAAAAAAATGAGACCAAATGGATTTCATCAGTCCAATAGGTTGCATAATCGTGTCCGATACCGTGAATACTACATCTTCCAAAAAAATAAGTGTAGACCTCAGTGATAGACCCAATTCTGCAAATTTTCGGTTTTCAAAGCTTCTGCCCTTTTAGCCTTCAGAATCTTACGGTTGCGGTTCCTCCGTTGAGTATTGGTAAGTCGACCGGACTTCGAACTAGACCAATTTCAAACACAGATGGCGGTGGGCCAATGGCAAGAACCGGATTCTCTTCGTACAAAATTCCTTTTCCTTTAGACACTGATGGGGGAGCAGGTGCAACCACAGTAATCCCAACGGGAGTGACAATAAAAGTCTTTGCAGAAATGGGAGTAGCTCTGGTAGTAACAGGGGCAGCTGACTTAATGGGAACAGAAACGACCTTTGCCCTCTTGAGGGAAGGAAAGTCTTGGCCACAATTCAAGTTGAATTTAGTGGACGGCTCCTGGACATCTGGATCCGGGGCAACGACTTTCATTATGACGAACGGGGCCTTACCGAGTACTACTTCAAACTGGTCAAATTCAGACCCAAACTTAATCTTGGATCCCATATGAAGGGCCTTGCCGAGTACTACTTCAAACTCGTCGAATCCAGACCCAAACTTAATCTTGGATCCCACCTGGCGGGCATCCCTGCTGGTAGGCAAGTTGCACAAGAAGGTCAACGTAGGGGACGACATCTTTCCTGACAGTTGAAAAATTGTTGAATGTCAGAGTACTGTGCTTCTTTTCTGGGTAAAATAACTTTGCTAAAAGTACAAAAGTTGACGAAATTGTCTTATGAACTGGGCGTTTCTTTCGAAACTGTGATTTTTGATTTTGACTTGAATTCATTTTGTTGTTGTCATGTTGTGTCTTTTGTTCAAAATTTTGTCTGATTCTTTAACTGTGAATGTTTGTTTTGGGCATTGGGTTGTGAAGTTTTAATATTATCGAGGAAAGTTTCAAAGGTAAAATTTGAGGTGACTTGTGAAAAGAACAAGCTGAACTCGGAAGAGAGATGAAACGATCACGAGGTACAGGACCCGGTCTAGAATTGGAAAAGACTCGTTCCACATCGGACTCTCTCCGACCCTAACCTATTGGGGGTCCATCCCACTAAACCCTAGGGATTCCTGAACTCCTCTGCTTAAGGATGATTAAATAGATGGTCCTGAAATCCAAGAAGAGTTGACTATACTGGCTCAAGAGAGAAATGAACACAATATGCCAACGGAAGAACAACAGTCTGGCCCACGATGGGTATGGACACACTACCGATATATGAAGACAAATCCTCTTGATCAAAATGGAGAGAGGAACTAGTCCTCAGCGGAGTCGTCATAATTTGTCGGTCAACTTTTCAATTATTTGAAAATATGAATATAAAAATAATTTTTGAGATTTAATTTATTATAATAGATATATAGTTTTAGTTTTGAAAGTAGTATGTTTTAATTTTTGAAAAAAGGGAGACCAAATGGACCTCATCAGTCCAATAGTTTGCATAATCGTGTTCGATACCGCGAATATTACACCTTCCCGAAATATAAGTGTAGACCTCGGCGATAGACCTAATCCTGCGAACTAAGAGATTTGTGACATCCGTTTGGTCTGCGAACCTTTTATGTGTGACCGACAAGTTCCCCTATCTAATACAAATATTAAATAAGGTTTATTTTTCCTGGGTTCCAAGTCCCCTATAGAGGCAAACCCCTATAGTTAATTACATCTCAAATGACTGCGGTCACTTGAGAAAACTCTGGATAATAATCAGAAGTACTAGTCTTCAAAATTTTAAAGTGTAGGTTTTCACGGTAGGACGTGGAAAGACAAATGAGAGTGACTCAAATATGAACAATTATTTCAGTAGTCCAAAAGAAGGAACATGTAGGAGATGTCATAGATCCTGAGGAGAAACCTCAGTGACTTTCCAGACTATTCTACTGTGTGGCTGTGTTTTAAAGAAGATGTTATTTGAGTGTTCAATCCTGTCAATTTTATTATTTGAGACTTACACTTGCATAATAACTGGTTATGCAAATAACCCGCAGAGATAAGAGTTTTACATATTTTTTGACGACAACCTCGGAACCTAAGGCGAATTAGGACTTACGCTGCACAACATGGTTGTGCAGGGGCCTAAAAGAGGGTGAAGAATTACGTCGTGCTGGGCGAGCTACCTCGAAGTCCTGTGGGTTGTTTAAACTAGAAAAATTTAGTTGATGTAGACTCATTTTGCTGTTGTAGAATGATGACCACCTCAACTTGTAGTCCGCTCCATACTCCATGTCGCGCTGCCCACGAAGTTGCTCCAAGTTTGTTGTCGTCGCGATGACTCCAGGGTTTAAGTGCTTGAGATTGGGGTTTATGTTTCACAGTTTTGATATCAAAAATTGGTTTTGTTTTGTTTCAATTTTGGTTTTGCATAAAGAATAAACAAATTGCAGGTGAATAAGAGGTACTTGAAAAGTAAAATGCAATAAACTAAAATGCTGTAAGATAAACTGTAAAAACGTACTTGAGCATCTGTTACTGTCGCGTTATTAGTGTTGCGAGCATAATATGATTTGCAGCAGATTTAAATAAACTTGCAAGAAAATAAACAAGACGAGAAAACCCAACACGAAAGTCAGAAAAATGAGTCATAAAAATCACGAGCAAAAGAAACCCTTACATGCCTTAGCCACGTATGAAAGACCAGGACTGAGTGTAAGACATTGGTAAAAGTGGGGGCTCAGAACTGGACTGTGTGCTTCTCGATCTTGAACAAGAGTTACCAACCCGAAAATCTATAGAAGACAGTTCTTAACCTCAATCCGAATGATTAGCCATGGACCTTTATAAATTTTCGCATAAAAATTCTTTGGTTTTTATGCAAAAGCTGTTGTTTAAGTTTTTTTTATGCAGAGTTCTTTTTTAACATGCAAAAGAGATTTTTGTTTTATTTTTGTAAATATTTTATAAAGTCGTGTAATCCGCAGACTAGTCACTCTAGTCCACAGACTAGTCACTCTAATCGTGCTAGAACTACTGACAACCTAAGAGTGTCGGGGGCAACGATCCCATCAAGAATCGACGAATAGTATCATTGATTCTTTTCTCTCCCTTATTGAAGATCCTTGAGGTAGGAAATACTTTTCTAATAATCCCATTTTGTATCCCTCGTATAAACACACATAAGCAATGTCGTCATCGCCCTCTCCACCTAGACTCTAGACTAGACTTATCTTAGTCAGACTTATCCTAGTCCGATGATCTATATGTGGTGTTAACAAATTTCCCCAATTGTCAGGAGAATTTGAGCGTAATATCCGAGCTCAAATTCTGATGCACTGAGTTTTATTGTAGGTTAAGTCATTGTGAGTCATTGTGGGGGAATTTCACTGTTGATTTAATTAAAGAAACATGAACTACGTCTCGGTGCATTTTCATGTCTGACGTCTTAATCAGTTTATGAATCAGGGTCAAGTGTTAAGTTTCGTTATTTATTCGAAAATTAGGTGGATTAACGCTCACCTAGAGTGTGCTCCTAAAATCTAGGAAGTCTATGCTGAGAATTAGGTAGGACTCTCACCTAGGGTGTGCTCTTAAAATCTAAAAAACCTATTATGAGAATTAGATGGATGAACTTTCATCTAGGGTGTGCTCCTTAAATCTAGGAAGCCTATGCTGAGAATTAGGTGGATGGACTCTCACCTAGGGTGTGCTCCTAAAATCTAGGAAGCCTATGCTAAGAATTAGATGGATAGACTCTCGCCTAGGGCGTGCTCCTAAAATTGAGGAAATCTACACTTTAGCTTGTGCCTAAAATGATTTAAAGTGTTCTACCCCCAATTAAGTGTTTCCAACTAATCCTCAAATATTTCTAAGTGTCTTGCAAGTAATTAAATAAAAAAATTCCATTTTTTTGACTTAAGCATTAAAAAAAAATGAAACGAAAGAAGGAGGCCGACCCACCTCCAAAACTAGTAAAGCCGAATGGGGGAAAAAAAAGTGAATCGACCTAAAAAAAATGTTTAAATGATAATTAAGTGAAACACAAAACAATAAATAAAGCTCTCCAAATTTGGCCTCAAAACAGTAAATAGAGTTATCAAAATCCAACCCCAAAACAAACTCTCAAAATCAGCTCCGAAACAGTGCCAAAATGGTGCCCAAACGGTGTTAAAACCATGTCAAAATTAGCACACAAAATGCCCCAAATAATACTTAATTGTGTCCCAAATAATACCAAATAGCTCTCACATCCCAAAAGCTCTCACAGCAGTTTCCCAAAAGCTCTCACAGCAGAAAAGCTCTCACAGCAGTTTTAACACCTCCAAATAGTAATTTACAGCACTTGTAAGCTACCTACAGCAACCCAATCTACAATTTCAGCACCCAAACATTAATTCCAAGCTTCCTACAACACCCAAACTTTAATTCCAAGTTTCCTACAACACCCAAATGTTAATTCTAAGTTTCCTACAGCGATCGGCGACTCCAAACAGCAACTTAGACCCTTCCTACAGCCTTCTATAGCGATCAACGACTCCAAACAATACTTATACAGTCATTTCTCATTCCAAAAAAGTCCTAAACAACATCTTACAGCACTTTTAAGTTTTCCAAACTGTAATTTGCAGAGCTTGTAAGGTACCTACAACAATTTTTTATCACTGAACAGTACTTGTTCATCACCAAACAACACTTTAAAGCTTTGGACAACACTCTTAGTAATTTTCTAATACTTTCCAACGAATTTCAAATACTTTCATTACTTTTAACTCTCCAAATAACAAAGCAAAACTCCTTGAAACGGTCCAAAAAAAAAAAATTAAATTCCTCAAATCCCTCTCCAAAACAGCGAATAAAGCAGTCCCAAAGAAGTGAATGAATTCTAAACATGAAAAGATGTCCTTCATGTTAAAAAAACAAAGGTACTTATTTTGTAAAATTAAGGATTTGGGTGGTGTAGATGTAAGGTTTAAGTTCTGGGCATGCAAAAAATATAAGCATTGTATGGTATGCATCTGAATTTTTCAAATTCCTCATAAAGCCAATCCAAATATATTTCAGGTTTGCATAAATCAAATGGACTGTTTTCCCAATTCACATAAAATCAAGCCAAACATATTTCAGATTTGCATCAATCGAATGGGATGAATTCTGTATTCACATAAAACCAAGCCAAAATATATTTCAGATTTGCATAAATTGAATAGAATGTATTCTCAGTTCACATAAAGCCAAATCAAATATATTTCAGATTTGCATAAATCGAATGAAATGTATTCTCAGTTCACATAAAGCCAAATCAAATATATTTCAGATTTGCATCAAGTCGAACCGTGTGAGTTTCAGACTTTTCAATATATAAAAAGAAAGACAATTCATGCTTTGTTAAATGAAAACAGATGAGATTGTCAGATCATGGACATGAGTGTATAAAAAGCTTCAGACTCTATTCATGAACATAAGAAAAAAAAATCAAGCTTTTAGAGCATTTAATCAAGAATATAAAATAATCCATGACGATTCAAAGTTCCTAACCTCGTCTTTTAACAAGTCAATGAGAACATAAAAAAAAAAACTCCGTCGTAACACGGTCAAGAGTGTATATGCCATGATAGTGCTTTCACAACTAATCAAATATATGATTATCCACTAAGCATTTTGATAACAGAAATTTCTACTTGCACGTCATGTAATCTCTGTATGCTACAAAACCTCCCCTTTTAATATAGCTAAAACGGGGCCAACCCTTAATACGGAGAAGCTCGAATTTCACATTTCACTAAAACATAGGAATTTGGATCTCATGTCTCATCCAAACAGTTACGATGAAACCGAAAGTCTTGTGATAGAATAGTAAAACTTACCTCCAAATGCCTGACGAATAGAGAGGAAGAGAAAGAGGACTTTAGAATAATCAGGGGGCGCGAGCGAGGAGGAAGAGCAGCTTCTAGGGTTAGGACTTCGGTGCAGCGAGGTGAACTCAAGCGGAAGAAGCCGAACAGGGGTCCTCGGTCGAACGCGGTTGAACGCGAGAGGAGAGGGCGAGCTTAGATGCCTCGATCGCGAGCTGGAGAGGGGCTCCTTCGATCGAGCAGAGGAGTAGGCTTCAGAATAATAAGGAGAAGTAGGCAAGTGAGGGAGGCGAGCAGGAGTTTCGATCGGTGGGGGGAGTCGAGCGAGGCCTCCTGGAGCTCCGATTGGTGGAGGAAGAGATGCGCGGGAGCTTCGATCGTGAGAAGGAGACGAGCGGTTTGGTCTGCTCGGCGGCAGGAGACGTTGGATGCAGTGCAGTGAGGAAGAAGGAGGAGTCGAACGGGAGAGTCTTCGTCACAGAGAGAAGACGCGAGGAGGAAGTCTTGGGTCGCACGAGAGAGGAAGTAGACGGGAACGGGAGCGAGCGGAGGATGTCAAATGAAGAGTCCCCTCTTGGAAGATATGGGGCTAATTTGTATAGCCAAAGACTTGAGGAGCCGTTACTTGAAAGCATTGGCGGGGAATTGAATACCTTCATTGAGCAGAGGAGGCTTAATTGAAAAAGAATTAATCCTTCATTATATCAGATTATTGTGGAATTAATGATATATTTGAAATTTGTGGGTTGAAGTAATTAGCCCGGGCTTAGCCCATATCCAGCCCAAGTCAAACTCGAAATGAACCTGGGTTGAGCCCGGGCCCACGCCTGCTAAAAAATTGCATCAATTTCTGTGCCATTTGTGCGCGCGCGTAACCATAGCAATACAAGTGTCCTTCCTAGCTAAAGTTGAAGTTCCGGACGCGTCAGTGTGGTCCATTTCGTCATCCGGGGTCGTCCGGACAAATTCACCGGTGGGCAAGTCAAATCAAGTCAAAGTCGTTGTGTGGTGCAATGTGGTGCAATGAGTGCGTGAATTGCGGCGTTCGCGAGTATTCGAGTCACAAAGGGTTTACTTAAGGTCGTTTGACTCATTTTCGGGCCCTCTACATGCCCTCTACATGTTGGTTCTTAGCAATTGCAACTAGAAGTTGAGTGCTTGAAACCACTCATGCGAGTTCTTCACAAAAATGAGTCAAGAAGTGGCTCGAAGCTCTACGGGAGGTGGGCTCAATTATTAATCCACTAGGACGGTCAACTAGGGACTCTTAAGGCTAGATTTTGGGTTCTGGGAGTAGGAAATTAAGACCTCACTAAAAATGAGGTCAACACATATATGCTATGTTTGGGCGTGCAACAGTTTGATTATAGATGATTGCTAACTTTTGTTTGAATTTAACATCGTATCTGCATTGAGTTACTTGAATATTGGATTTTCATTTTTGAGAATTATTATTCATGTTTCGATGTTTAGGAGATACTTGTTTTTTTCTTGACTAATTTATTTAGCTTCTGACATATTTTTGTAAATCATATTTGCATTTGCGTTTGTTCACTTTTGATGGTTTGAGTTGAATGCATCTTTTTCTAGGTAGAAAGGTGGGAAAGGCAATATCTCTCTTCCACTGGCGAAGGAAAACCTTATCAGAATCCTAACATGCTAGAATTGGCAAGTTGGCTAAAGAATCATGTACCATTCGAAGATTCATTTGAAGATTCATCTAGAACAGCTGCCACCGGTTTGGTTCATGGGGACTTTCGTATTGACAATCTAGTCTTTCATCCTACAGAGGTTTGTAATTTAGTATTTCAATATTGAAATATGCCTAGATTAATCATAGTTTTTTCTCTGTTTTAATGAATAGAATTAAGTTATCATATATAATGCCCAATCAATATATTGTAGAAAAAAAGGCTATTTTATAATTGTTTTACTTGATAACCAGTGTATTGGGTTTTTTCTGCTACAAGTTTTATCTTATGCTGATAGATTGCATGCTATTAGGATGAATATACATAATCATCCATCCATCTTGTTTTCTTCTTTTAATTTTAATTAATAATTTTTTTTTATACCTTATTTGTACCTCTTGGTCAATTTAGTAGAACTTGGAAGGAAAGAAGTAGGCCATATGCAATACAGCTAGAAATTGTCCATTCATTTTTGAGTGCTTATTACTCATTAGGAATGAATTGGAAATGGAAATTTAGAAAACCAGTTCCAAGTAGTTTTGATAAAACTATTGTAATAAACGATGATGATAAATAGTCATTTTTATACATCAATTAAATCTATTCAGATTTGTATTATTTTCCTTAAACAAAGCACCAAATCAATTGAGAGTTTTATTTTTACAATGTTCCAACATCTCATCCAATTTGTTTTATGCTCTCATGAATTGTTGACCATTTACCTAGCTTAGTATTCTTACTTTGTGATTGTTTATTTTGTTGGGGCACAATTGGAATTCAAACTTACTATTGCTTTGGAGATTGATTTAGAAAAAACTTATTATCGTGTATTATTTTGCATGTTGTATCTCTCTCTCTTTCTCTCTCTCTCTCTCTATGTATATATATATATATATATGTATGTATTCATATATACACATACACCAGGGTAGAATTATTAATCTGCAGGTTGCGTTTTGTGATATTTCTTTTTGCAGGGTCGTGTAATTGGAATCCTTGATTGGGAACTATCAACATTAGGGAACCAAATGTGTGACGTTGCATATAGTAGTTTGGTAACTTCTTCCTCTATTCATGATCTAGTCCTTTCAATGTTTTCTTATTTTAAGGTTGTCTTTGTTGGTTCTTATACACGCACACATTTTAGTCGCACCTTAAAATTTTTGAAGGTTTTAAAGCACCATTCTTTTTCCTATTCACCTATTTTGTATTTCAAATTTTTTTTCTTTATAATTTGATGGCTTCTTTTTTTTCTTGATGATCTTTTACTTTTGGACCGCTTTTTTCGATCTATCTATAATTTTAGCCATGGACATTTAGTTAAAGACACATCTGCTTTTTCAATAAGCATGGGCCTCATGTGGACAACTTTATCAAATGATTTGAGCTTCTATTAATACATGTCGTTATTCATTACTTCAAGATCAGAGTTATTTTGTTGGCTAAATTCATCTTATGGGACAAAGCAATATTGTCATTTTTTTGGGCAATTCTGTAGCATTGTGTTGTGAATGAACTTTGTTTAATGGTAAGGGTGTGAATGGACGCTGCATGTTAAGTTTAAAGCCAGAACACTTTATTGTTGGACCACATTTTAACTTTGCTTCCTTTTCAATATTTTGCTAGCTCTCTCATTTGTGTTTTGCTCTTTCTGCTTGCTATCACTTTGATAGTTCTTTTATAATTTTAAACTTTCATTTGACCGCCATCTTTCTCTACTATTGTATGTGGAAGTTTTCTGGATGCTTTCCTGGCTGAACTGGACCGGTTTAGCTGGGGTTCAGCTAGGGTGGAAATTAGGGCTGGCCGGCCCTAAGAAAGAGGGCCGCCGCCCAAATAGGAAGGGGTTTCACCTCTCCTAACTATTTACTAGTATTTATGTGTGTTTTCTTGTTTTAGGATTCAGTTTTTTGTTGAGTTTTCTGTAGGGACAGTCGTCGGCGTCTCAAGTTCTCCCTTCTAGGGATGTATCCAAAGACAGGTGATGCTTTGGCTGTATCTTGCTCCGAGGTGATGACTATCTCCAGATATATCCTCACTTCTTCCACCCACTTGCTAGCTGCCATCCTTTTGACACCCACTTGCTTGCTGCCAGCTTTCCTGCATCCCTCTCCTGCTTGCTGACACCCCACCTGCGCACCATAGCAGCTGCTGCCGCCCTCCCTTTTTCCTCCAGACCTGTTGCTGCACCTCCCTCACAGCCTTAATTGCTGTCCAACCGCACACCTACATCCATCTTGCTACCGCTAGCCCTATCCCCTCAACTACAACTCCTCGATTCTACCACTGCAACACGCAACCACCACTTTCATCCTCTAGGGTGTCACTCTCGTGTCGTGCCGTTTTGTTACTGTTTTTAAGAGTTTTTGCTTGCAACCCTTTTGAATTCAACAGGAAGACCTATTTTCCGATTGTCGTTGGGGCTTAACTTTGGTATCACTTGCTATCAGAGCTAGCCTAACATTAGTCCTATCCCAGGGTTTCCTAGCATCCACCTTAGACTCCCACCCCCATCAAAAAAATTTTTTTTTTCTATCCTCTACGACTTTTTTCAATCCCCAAACCCTAACTTAGGGGTGTCAAAAAATTGACCCAACATGCCAACACCACTCGAAAAATTCGGGTTAGGGTTGACTAAAATATTTTTCGACGGGTTCAGATTAGAGCATCGATTCGTTTATTATTCGGGTCGGGTTGAAACCGAAAACCCAAACATGACCCAAATAAACATGAAAATTCTGGTCGGGTTCGTGTTAGCGGGTTAAGCTCGAATTCGGTCGGGGTTCGGGTCTTAGTTTTTGACCCGTTTATTATTCTAGCCGGGTTCGATTTGACCCAATTAGGGTCAGGTCATTTTTAGGTCGAACCCGAACCTGACTCGATGACCCGAATTGACACCCCTACCCTACTTATGCCAGCAACGAGATACATTTTGAAACCTACCCGAGATGAGATACAATGAGAATCCGTCAGCTTCAACAAAGGCTTGCGGAGATTGACAATGGAACCCAGGTGGAGCTTTTCCTCAATCATGATCTAGAGAGTCGAAGGGAAGAAATGGACGAAGATCTGAATCCGTTTCACAGGGAAGACGTCAGTGATGAGGAATACATACTCTGATGCTTCGAAATTTAGTATCAGAGGAGGCCGAGAGAGAGGAGGCCACATATGGAGGACACATGGATTTTGACATTAAAGTGGATTTACCGGAGTTTGAAGGAGGAATGGATCCATACAGATTTATTGACTGGTTGTAATTTGTTGAGTGAATCCCGAGTATAAGTGTCAAAGGATAAACGGATAAAACTAGCAGTCATCAAATTGAAGAAGAGTGCCTCTTGTGGTGGGAAAATTTGTAGAGGTAGAGAAAGAGAGAAGACACTGACAAGATTACCAAGTGAGAGAAGATGAGGAAGGAAATGCAGAGAAAATATCTATCTCATAATTACTGCCAGGATATGTTTTTGAAACTCCACTATTTATAATAGAGAGTCCTATCAGTGGAAGAGTTCACGACATGGTTTGACGAGTTCTAAATGAAGTGTGAGTTGGTTGAGCTAGAGGAATATGCCATAGTCCGTTATCTAGGGGGCTTGAAGCCGCTATCAACAATGTTGTGCAATTTCAACCTTATTGGTCACTGAGAGATGTCCAGATGTTAGCTCTGAAGGTGGAGAGACAATAGAAATAGAACAGACAATCACTACTATTTAGGAAACCACTCGTATTTGGATACATAAGTAGGAGCATGCCTCAGGGAGTTGAAAAACTAGTTCGGATAAGGACAGAGCCACCTCATGTGAGAAGAAGCCCGAGAAGAGTAGCACAACTACTACATTTCCCACTCAAAAATATTTTGGAAGACATGAATTTGGGCACATTGCCTTGAGCCTGGTCGTTTGTTTCTATCTTGGAAATTCTTGGTTGGGTCATGACAATTATTGTCTCTTATTTGCTTCAACCTTCCACCATTGCTGGTTCTTTGCAATTGGCTCCTCTTTTGTCCATTTTGCATCTCTTTCTAATTACTCGGTATGTAGGTGAAATTATGGTGTAATTTCATTGTTATTCATTGAGATAAACATAAAATTAATCACTTGAAATATTTGATCATGAAGAATTTTCTTTCACTTTCTCTTTAGTTTATTAAAGTTTTGTGATTAGTTTGATTTACATTTGTTTTCAAAGAACTTTATGCAATTTAAGAGACCATGATGAGAAGCATGCCTTTTCACTAGCCTCATACCACTATTTTTGGGTTGACTTTATGCTGCCATTCAATGACTCCTAGAATGTGTTTATGTACTAATCAAGTTCTAATTTTATATCTACCACCGATCATGGAAAAGCTTATGCGAGGTTTTATCCCTTCATTTCTCCTCATTCAAACCAGCGATCGAGAGAAAGCGAGAGGGAGTTAGAGAGAATGATACAACAAGAAACATAAAGCAAGAAAGTGGAAGAAGAAGCAACATAAGAATTAGTAGAAGAAAGGAGGAGAAGAAGAAGAATAAAGGAAAGAGGAAAAAGAAAGCGAAGAAGAACGAGAGTGGAGTGCGGGAAATTCCAATACCGCGAGAGTGAGATAATTTCCACTCTCGAGGGATGCTTTGTTCCTCCATTTCTAAATGAACCTTGTGTGCAGGTGCTCGAGCGGAATGCTGAAAGTGTTCCTTCGTGCAAGAGATGTTCGATCAAACACCTGAATGCTTGAGCAAGCCTTCCTCTTGCGTTCTTTTCCTGTGCTAGATAGAAGAAAGAGTGCAACTTCTTGTAACCTAATCGAGCATGAGAGAAGTAGGAAGGCCTCATATGTCTTTTTTCGCATCCATGAGAGCTCGACAGAGCTCTAAAAGCTCGCAGGTGTTTCCCTACATGTGAGAAACTTGATCGAGAGCTCAACTAAGCCCCTACATGCCCAATTTGCAAAAATAAGGCAAGGCAATGAGGAGTGGGAAGAGTTGCGATCTTCACTAATATGAAATTTAATTTATGAAATATTAATTCATAATTAATTCATTAATTTTAGAAAATCTAATATTTAATTCCTAAATCTTTAGGATTTTGATGAGGAGACCAAATTAGTAAAAACAACTTTGCTACGAGGAATAATTTAGGTATGAAGATTGATTTTAATATTTAAATGTTATTTTCCTAATCAATTAGTGTTAAATTTAACTAAAATTCTAAGAACACTAAACCCTAAGTATAGAAGCTTAATTATGTTTCTATAATTACAAACATATTGCATGTATTGTAGGAAAACCACATAAATTAGTGATTTAATTTGATAAAAGATATATGAAGATGTCTATGTATTTAGGTTGAAACTCAAATAAAAGAAAACAAAATTATTGGAGGCTAATACGGGCTTAATGATTATTATAGGTGCACCAAAGACATAAAATAACTGTATAAGCGGGTAAATATGTTTTTATTTTATAATAGTTCTATTTATTTATGAAAGCGATTACACTTATTTTTATTGTTTTCAATATTTTTTTTAAAATGCAAAAGTTAATTCTTTTTTATATTAAATACAAGAAATTAAAAAAAAAAAAACGATATATGCATGCATGTGAGTCACCCTTGGATAATACAAACAGGAAAATGAAATGCACACATGCACGTTAAATGAAATAAAAATGAAAATAGTTGCCTATCTTTTTAGTACGTTGGAAAATGTTCAACATATATTTTTAAAAGTATATATTTTGACAATGACTCACAATAATGACAAATGTAACAGAAATAAATGAAAGTAAATGAAAAATTATTTTCTTTATTATTTATTTTTACTGCTCACAGTCATTTTATCATTTACAATATTTTTACAAAAATATGTTAAAGTAAGAATTATTTTAACTTAAAATATTTATTCGCTGAGTAGTTTAACTTGCACTTTCAATTGCTAACATTTTTATATAAAAATTAGCTATTAGATGAATTCTAGAAAGTATATATATAGAAGTTGAGGAGCTTAAAATGATACGTATTACACTTTAGTTTTTATGTTCTGTCAATTGTAAAAATTAAATACAAATAAATTATTGTAAATTAAAGTGTTATGAAATGGATTGACTTTTTTGTGTTTTGGATCATTTTATTTATAAAATAAAGCTGTTAGATAGTTTTTCTTCGTCCGATCATTAGTTCATGCATTGATAATTCTGAGCTCCTGGGCTGCGTCATGATGGTTTAAGGAGATTATCCTGAAGATAGTTGTGGAATGATAAGGGAATGATAATATGCAAGTTCAACGACGTTTCCATCCATGGCTGTCCCGACTAAAGAAAGCAAGGCAAGCTCCAAAACAATTATGTACGAGTGGTGAGGAGGTTCACCCCTTGTTCCTGAGTTAGTTACATACACAACATTTGCAAAAGTAAGAAGCTACAAATCTCCTAAAGCAGAAATCAGATATTATACTCTCTATATTTATAAAAATAAAAAAAGCAAAAATCTTTCCAAGCCTAAAAAAAATCCTAGAAAGTTTAATAATAGAAAATATCTAATTATAAATAAGAAAATCGGAAAGAAATTAGAAAAAGGAAGCAAATTTGGGATGAAATCGAAAATTGAATTGAAATCATGCGGTTTAGCTCCCTGTGATTACAAAATTCATAGGATCGCATGATTTCTGCGATCGGAAGTCACATGATCGGAGATCCCATGATTTTAGCAGATGATCCTGCATCATTTTCCCCGACTAGGTGAGACTCTTCTCTGTAGGCTTCTGGAATTGATCTATCATCACCATAACAAAATCATCGTATTGCTATTTCTAAGGCAATCCACTATAAAATATATGCTCACGTCCAATTCTTGCAACTCTAAAACACATACTCATTCCAAAGTATGTCCTGATAGAATAAATAATCATTATTCTTTGGCAGCAGAGCTGGGCAACATCTGGGCTTTTATTCTCATGAACCAAGACTCAAAGCATAACATGTGTAACATGTTTTTGCGAATTATCATACTTGACTGATCACATCCCATAGGCAATTTGGATTGACTTAATAAATCCTAGAATGAGGTTTATGACACGTTGAATCTTTTTCAGTAGTAGGCACTCAGGAGGCAAACTGCCAGACAAGACATCTGACAACTCCTTCAATAAGTGCTACCTTTTTTGGTATTGCTTGATCTGACTTGTTATCTTCTAGGACGACTAATGTTAATCCTGTTGGAGTCTCTCTCATGGGCTTAGATTGAATCACTAGCATTTCTCTCATTAATTGATAACTATTGTTCCTCCTTTGCGTCCTTATCGTTTTCACTCTCTTCTGTCTCTGTCAATTTCTTCAGTTGCTCATTGCTCAGTGAAAGAGATCACCCTCATGTTTGGACAATCAGATGCAATGTGCAAAAATGTGTGGCACTCGAGGCACTTTTTTACTAGGACAAATTTGGGAGTGCTAGATGTCTTAAATTTTTCTCCACTCTGAACTATTTTTTTCTCTTGTCGGGTAGGTTGGGATGGTCCACTGTGTACTCTTGATGCTTGATCCTTTGGTTGAACCTTTTTTGAAGGGTGGTGTGGATTTGATGCTGTTTTGTTGTCTCTCCACCTTCAGAGGTAGAGTGTGAACATTCTTTAATGCTCAAAAAGGTTGTAATTGTGCCACATTGCCAATGGACAATTTCAATCTTCTCAGTTTTTGAGTTATGGTGTTCTCCTCTGGCTTCACTAGCTCACACTTCAACATAAGCTGCTCGAACTCAGTTGTGTACTCATCTATTGATAGATCTTGTTACTGTAAATGGTGAATTGGTGAATTCTTAAAAATTTAATATTTGTAATGTACTGGTAGGCACTTGCGATGCATCGCCATTTTCATCTTAAGACCAAGTTATGATTTTAATTTTTTCTCCACTTTTGAATATGTATCAGATTCTCTGATCGCAATGAAATGTTCTTTCTGAGCTTGATGGCTGTCAACTTAATTATCTTCACCTGAGAAATATTTTTATACTAAAATATTTGTTCCATTGTTTGAAGCCACTTAATAAACTCATTTGGATTCATATGACTGTCAAAATTTGGCAAATTAGATTTACTTCAAGATATTAGCCTTTTCTCTGATATTCCATGTGAAATTGTTGGGATATTGATTCTTTGCCACTAGAAACTTCTTGATGTAGGATATTCTCTTTCTTACGTTGATTTGACATTTCAATGTTACGATTGTGGGTGACATTGCCAGATTATCTCATCACAAAGACATCACTTTTTTGTTATAATTGAAAGATTTCTCGCTGTATATTCTTTATAGTATGCTCATCGACATCTTTTTGTAGATTTCTTCTTGGCAGCAAGGTTTTGATAGGTGTAGGGTTGTAGATAAATGGTTGGTCAAAGTTTAGGGTTTTGGTGGTAGGTGTTGGGGCGGATTTTTGTTAAGGTAAGAATGATGAATTTTGAAAATTTAAGGTTGGGGCTGAGAATTGCAATATGAATGATTTGGGTATGGTGTATTTTTTTTTTTTGGAATTTTAGATTGCGACAAGAAAGTTAAAACTTTAAAAAATCTTACTTAGGATTTACAGGGCTCTGATACTAGATGATACAGTTATAGAGCTCCTAGAAAGCGTTTAGAAAGGAGATTTAGCAGGGAGACCATTGTGGGATGGCAAGTGAATGATAATATACAAGTTTAATGTTGTTTCGACGGGGATGAGCATCATTCACGGGCTATCTCGGTTGAAAACCGTGAAGCGAGCTCTGAAACGATTAAATTCGAGCGGGATGAGGTTCTCCACTTCTTCCTGAGTAAGATATAAACACACCACTTGCAAAAGTAAGAGGATACAACACCCATAAAGTATGAAATCATACATAATCTCATTATACTCAAAACAAAATAAAAGTCTTCCAAAAATAGAAAACAAACCTATAAGTAGCCTCACAATAGAGAAATAACAAAAAGGAAATAAATCAGAAAAAATGAAGAAAATTTTGGATGAAATTGAAAATCAGGCTGGAATCGTGTGGTTCAGCTCCCTGTGATTGCAGAATCCGTAGGATCGTCAGAGTTTAGTGTTAAGGAGTCGCCGGATCGGAGATTCCGTGGCTTTAACAGACGCTCCTGCATCACCCGTGAATCCTTCTGCTTACCTCCTATTTGCGCGACTTGAGGTGTTAAATTTTTTCGCCCAATCATTTTCCAACTTCTATCTTGATCCACAATTTTCATTCTTAATCAAACCACCTAAATCTATTTATGATTATCTTATCTTCAAATTGTACCATTACTATAATCCGAATTACATGTCCTTGCCGATCTTATGTATTAATGAATCTTATTGTTAACTTTTGATTGTGTGCATTTTATAGGGCAATAAACTTGTTATAATATATATAGGTTTCACATCCTAATGATCAAAACCTGTATCGACTCAGTGATACTTATAAAATGTATTTCATCGTGCTTACTTGATTTCGTAGAATACTTGTGATTTATGAGCTCTGTTCCTCTGTAATTACGCATGTTATTTTACAGCCTTTTGTAGTTGATATAAAGCTATCTGAAGTGGGTCCATATGAAGGGTTTGAAGTTGCCGGGAGACCTGAAGGCATCCCATCTCTCCCGGAGTATCTTGCTGAGTACTGCTTTGCATCTGTGAGCATTGCCTATATTAATCTATCCTCAACTACCTTTCAGCTACATGTTAACCCTTCTTGTTGATTATTTAGATATTACTATTTATTTCATTTCAAATGTCCTAGTACAGGGAAAACCTTGGCCAGTTTCTGAGTGGAAGTTTTATATTGCATTTTCGTTGTTTCGTGGAGCCTCTATATATGCTGGAGTATATCACAGATGGACACTGGTATAATTGGTTTTCAATGTAAACTTGTTCTACTTTTCTAATTGATTGTATGATAATGAATATTATTTCAGGGTAATGCTTCGGGTGGCGAGCGTGCTCAACTTACTGGAAAGCTGGCTAATATTTTGATTGATACTGCCTGGAAGGTCATCAATACACAATCTTTGCTTCCCGACAAACCTCCATTTGGTATGCTTCTTTCGAAAAAAAATTTATGTTACTAATCTTTTGTTATAAATTCCAGGAATCATGAATAGGTTCTGTACGCATAGATTGTGCAGTGCCTTTACTAGATTAAACGTCTAAAACTTCTCAGATTAAGCAGCTTCTTTAATAATTATCTAGGCTGTGGTTGTGAATATTTTTCTATATCATTTTATTTTTAATCTGGCAGATCTGTTTAGTTAATCAATTCAATCATGTGCGTTGACTTTGCAGAGCATCTCAGTACACTAATATAATTTTGTTTGGGATCGGTTTTCTTGATGTTTGTAAAAATGTGTCATATATTGGAGAATCTACACGCCGCAGCCTAATTGATGCATTATGCTGTTATGCATCGCCATTAGGGCAATTTTATCTTTTATTAGCTTAAGGGTAAATTGGTCTTTTATTATTATTATTTGGATATAAATAGAGCTTAATAGCCCAAGGTTAGGGTTATGCATGAGATTATTGTTGCGAGCCTTAGGTTTAGGGTTTGAGAGAGATTTTCTACCTCTCAAATTGTAAGAGTTAAAAGAGATCTCCTACCTCTCGAATTGTATGTGCTTTTCTTTGTATTAAGTTTTGATGTTTTTGCAATAAAATATTTTTTTTGCCCTAATTTCTGTGAAAATTTGTGTCGATCTCTACATCGAATTATATCAAAGAGATATCGAAGCGTTTCATTCCAGGAAAGAAGAAAGAATCGCAGCCTGAAAATAATTTTGCTTTCAACCCACCCATCAGGCTTGTTATAGAAACTCAAATTTCCTATCTTTCTCCTCCTCCCTTGTCTGTTTGCCTGATAGAGTCATGATCGAGCCTGGAATTCAACGAGGGGCTCGCGACAGAGACCTGAATCTTCTATATTTCACCTCCATTGTAGTAAAGAGTGCTAGCAAAGAACGCAACGATGGGATCGCGACTTATTGAGACTCGAAATGCTGATCTTTCCCCCCGCTCCATGGACGCAATATAATCGCGATTAGAGTAAGCTGAGAATGCAACGACGCGGCATACAGAGGCTCGAAACTTTCATATTACGCGGCGTAGAGAGACCCAAAACTCTCAGCTTTCTCTGGTTCCAATTCCGGTGTGTAGTAAAATCGAAAACATCGACTTCATTTCAGCGTACAGGTGTTTCCGTCTTTTGTGATCGAAAACTTGCCGAGGAATGATGACTATAAAGAAAGTAGATGATTTGGGAGAAAAATTGGAGGAAAATGCGAGCTAACTTAAATCCGGGATGGAGGAAAGGTTTTCCATCATAGAAGGAAGGTTTTTCCTCATAGACAATAGATTTTCTTCCATGGAAGATTGATTCGAGAGCTTGGAGGAGATGATGATGAGCTTATTGAGATGCAATTTAAGACCCCGCCTGTGACTCAATTCGCAAACCCAACCAAGGTTAACTGGAGATTCTTTTGTCAGATTGACAGGGGAAAGAGATCAAACTTGAGGTGCATAAGGAGGAAAGTATCCACCATCAAGAACTCCCTTTAGGACTCCGATGGGGGTTGTATTAGAGATTTCTAATGGAGGCGGTTGGGCTGAAATATGGAGAAGGGGCCATGTAAGGCATATGGAGGAGTACAAAGAGGGAAGGAGAGAAGTCGGGATGAGGTATGACTATGAGAGAGTTTTGTTCTCAATACATGGGGGAAACACCAGATGGAGAGGAAGTTGGGGTGATTTTATGCCCGGGAAGTTGAAATTATTGATTTTCGGGGGAGAGGAGATGCACATGGGTGAGAGTACATGACGAAGTATTATTTTATGGTGAATGGGAAAATGGGGAAGAGAAGCTATGATGATAGATTTATGGTTGGAGGGGAAAACACTAGCATGCTTTCAATGGAATGAGACTAGATACCCGATCCAATCATGGGAGAAATTTAAGGATTGTTTATTGGAACATTTCCAAGTCATTCTGGAAGGAGACCTACACGAACAATTCTATGCCTTAACATAGGAGGAGACTATCATGGAATAAATGGAGAGATTCAAGCTATTGTCGGGACTGCTGGAGGTGATTTCTGAAGTAATTGGAGGGGAATTTCATGAAGGGCCTAAAGCTCGACATACGGGCAGCGCTCCAACTATTGAGACCACGGGGATTGAGGGAGATGATGGAGATAGCCCAGAGAGGACAAGAACCAGATAAAGAAAGTCGACAGAAGCAACAACATAGAGGAATTTCATAAGAATACCTTGAAGATCATGACATCGAAGACTTGGACGGTGTCCTTTCAGGGGGAGGTGCTGAAGGAGAAGAATATCGGGGCCCGTCCAAGGGTTAACTTCTAGCGCCTTCCAGAGTAGATTCAGGAGAGGCGTGCCGAGGGGTTATATTTTCTGTGTGATGAGAAGTTTGCCCCCGGACACCCTTGTAAAGATCAAACATTAACAGGCTCTTAGTACTGTTACACATCGCTTAAGAGAAATTTTGTCTTTTATTAGCCTATGGGCAAATTGCCTTGAAAGTTTAGGGTTAGGATTATGTATGAGATTATTGTTGCGAGTCTATGATTTAGGGTTTGAGAGAGATTTCTTACTCTTGAATTGTAGGCATTGGGAGATATCGCCTACCTCTAGAATTGTAGGTGCTTATCTTTGTATTCATGTTAATTGTTTGACGTTCTTGCAATACAATATGAGTATGCCTTAATTTATGTGGAAAATCGTGCTGATTTGTACGTCAGATCTTATCATATGCATTACAGCAAACACATCGTGCAAGCTGTAGCTGCAAACCTCATCTTGTTTGGTGCTGTAAGAAGTTTGCTTTAGGAATTTATGCTACGAATTATTTTATTCTTGAAATTCTTTGATAAAATGAAGCTTATTTGTAGAGGTGATGGAAAAGTTCAAGGTACACTTGATTTCAGCGGTCCTGTATTTTTCTCTCAAAAATATAATATAACAGGGATTTATGGTTATGGCGGGGAACTTTTTTTTGTACGGCATCACTGAGTAAAGTTGAGGCACATCTTGAATTTTCATTTCTTTGTGAAGTCAACTGACTGAAGCTTTTAGTGAAGGCTAAAATGTTCTATTGAAAATTAATATTCGTTGTAGTAATATTATTAAACTGTTACAATTAACTAGATTCGCTGATTATGGAGCATAGGTCATGAAATATCAAGAGGTCCACGTGAACATCAGGACATAGAGTCTGCAAAGCTGCACCCAACAGAGCAACAAGGCAGATTTGTTCCAAGTCAGAAGGTTTTAGATCTGAAAAGAAAATTAGTAAAATTCATGGAAAAACATATATATCCAATGGAAAAAGAGTTTTATGAACTGGCACAATCAAGTTCACGTTGGACAATACATCCTGAAGAATCGAGGCTCAAGCAACTGGCAAAGCAAGAGGGCTTATGGAATTTGTTTATACCTGTATGCATTTCTTTAACTAAACCATTTAATTCTATCTTGTTCTTTTAAATTTAGTTTTATTGATACTAAATAGTCAGCCGAATGTGATTTTTCAATATTTTTGCTATGCTTTACAAAGCCTTGTTTTTTAATAATTTAAAGAGCCTTGCTAATTGATGTGAAATTAAATTAGGATATTATGTCAAGATACATGATTTTGAGATATTCTATTCTATCCTTTTCAGTTAGATAGTGCTGCTAGAGCAAGGAAGCTACTTTTTTCTGGAAGAGATTCTGGTGCTTTTGGGGTCGACAACAACTTGCTCGGTGCAGGCCTTTCCAATCTTGAGTATGGATATTTGTGTGAAATTATGGGGCATTCTGTCTGGGCGCCTCAACTTTTTAATTGTGGTGCTCCTGACACTGGGAACATGGAGGTAATTTGAGATTTGATAATGTTTTGCCCGTGCATACTCTCATTTTGTTTGATATCTAAGTTTAGATCTGTTAACTTTTAGTTTTCAGCTAGAATATAGTCTTATTCCAAATCAAAACGTGGTTTTCTTGTGGTTGAATTTTTGCGTAGTCATTTATCTTGATTTTAGTCATATCTTTCTAGTCAAATCTTTAAAAAAAGTTTTTTTTACCGTGAATCTTTATCAACATGTGGTTTCAAATATCTTGTTGAATTTTGTTTATCTGGGCTTTCAATTAGTATATCTTTTGTATTATAGTAAAATGAATAAGTGATAAGCATATAATATCTAGTCTTATTTGTCATTTTTTGAAAAAAAAAATCTTTTTTAGGAACTTAGTCTAAATTTTATTATTTATGTCACTTCAATATCAAATATATTTTTTCAAACTTACAAATTAGCAATTATTTTACATGTGGGTACATCAACACCCCTAATTAGTACCTTAAGGGAAGGAATTCCAGCTTTAAACATACGGATGCAGACACTTCTATATAGTTCATTTCATTTGCATTTTTTATGATATTGAATTTCTTTCTATAATAAATAATGTATAAGTTAAACAACTTAGAAATGATAAGAGGCCTATAATATTCATTTTAACATCACCAATAAATTCAGGAGTGGGGATAAACCATTAGTAACTTGCAACAAAGTTTGGTTGGACTAATATTAATATCATTTGAAGCATTTATTTTAGAGGAAACAACGTTATTACAATAATTTAGTAACAAGAGCATCCATCTTATTTTCAAGAGACTTGGTCTTCCATTTTAATTTATTCTCCGTTTTTGCGAGTTTAGCATCCTGTAATAACATATAAAACATTCATATTAATTTATTATATACATATATTTTTTTTAACCAGGACTTAATTATCCTAATTAATGATATCTTTCTTTCATTATAAATTGCTCTTAATTAATCTTTATTTTTGTTCAAATATATAATCATAATTAGCGTTTGCATTCCTTTAATTTAATACTCAACATATCATTTCATTCAAACTATTAATAATTCAACTTTCTTTACAAATGTAAATAATCATAACATAACTTTATACTTTGCTCTTTTAATTATATTTAAATTGCAATTATAGTATTATACTATTTCTAAATAAATTTTCATAAAAATTTTCTTACAAGCTTTTATAAATTTTAGTTGGCTAATTTGTTATAACTTACTAAAGCTTATGGACAAATTGGGATCAATATTTTATTTTGCTTTCTATTTTATATTTTTATTTTATTTTATTTATGTTTTAAATTGAAATAAAACACATTGGATATGTGAAAATAATACATATTTTGTTTTATTTTTTAGTGCTGGCAAGCCATGGTTGATAAAAGTGGTCGGTTGTCGATAACGGTCGATATTAGGTAGTGGCAGTGACAGTTATTTTTAGGTGTTTTGAAAGTTCAAAAAAGAAATTTTATTTTTTAAAATATAAAAAATAAAAACATTTAAATGTACACTAAACAACATTTTTAAAATAAAAAAAAATGCAAAAAATAAAATAAAAACAAAACACAAATAACTCTAGGTGCCCTTAGGTTTTTAAATCATTTATTAAATTTCTAAAAGTCAATATGTATTAAATAATGATAATAATTTAACTTTCAATTTTTCTCAAATAAGATTTTAAATTTTCTAATTTAAATGATGCATTCTTTCTATTTTGTAAAATGCCAGTCTATCTCATTCTTCTGTTTGGTTCTTCTTGATCTAAAACCTCAACAGTTTTTTTTTTTTTTTTGGAAATTGAGAGCTAGGTTTAGAGTTAAAATTTTATCTTTGGTTTGGAAGAAACAAGTCATAACCTTTACTTATTGTTCTTATACGCGACATGGCCTTTTGCTACTTTACATGCTTGCAAGTATAGCTGCATACTTGCTCATCCATCGTTGCATGCTGCACAAACACCCACTCAATTAGTTCGCTACTTGTTTACCCAATCTCTCTCCGCTGCTCTCTAATGTCTCAATCCCACTCTCCTCTTCATCTCCTACTAGCTGACTTCTTTCGACCTCCCTCCATCTCCTCTTTTGTGATTTAAAGGTGAAATCTACTAGCATTTGTTATATATGTATATATATATATATATATATTGAAAACCTAAAAAGACTAATATATTAAATAGAAAAAAAGATACAGAATACAATGTGTGGGAGGACCCAAACATGACACCCTGCGCACACAAAAAATCACAAAAGGTTTTAAAACTAGAAAAAACTGAAAATACATTAGACACTTACATAAAAAACCTAACAGTACCGAAATACATAGATCAGGTGGGAAGAGAGCGACCCAATTTGGTCTTGTATCTGCCACTAGTTCTAGGGAAGGAGCAAGCTAATACGTTGGTAAGATGATTGTTATGAAAAGCCCAAGGGCTAATTTTATTGAAATATAAAAGATATATAAAGCTTGTATGAGAGGGCCCAAAAGAGACACCCTACCCATACGATACCAAGTACAGTAATACCCCAACAAAAAGATACAGATAGACTCAATAAAATGTAAAAAACAAATTTAAAACATGCAGAAAACAAGTAGCTAGGGGCGAGCCAGTTTAGTCCTGTCTCTGCCTCTAGTTTTAGGAGCGGAGCCAGATAACAAACTTTGAAGAGTTGTGCCATTGTCATGAGTAACTAAAGTATCATCCATTAAGTTTCCGAGTGTTTGAAGAGTTGTGTCATTGCCAGGAGTAACCAAAGTATCATCCATTAAGTTTTCAAGTGTGTGCCCCCAACCTTCTTCTTCTACCGAGAAGTGTAAACCTGTCATTCTTCATCTGAACACTGACTCATGTGATCCTCGATCTGATTAGATGTTAGAACCGCAGTAGAAGGAAAAACAGTTGTTGCCACCGCGATAGGTTCCAGTGTATGTGAAGTGTGAATAGTTTCCTTTGCACCTGATGATTCCTGAATAGGAGCTGCGGGACTTTCTTGATTTTCGGTTCGAACATTGTCCGTTTTAGTATGGTCAGGAAAAGTTATCCTAGTTGCCGACACCAACTCCTGTCTTTTAGTGATTCCCTCCTCAGGTTGGCTGTCATCAGGTTTGCTAGGAGCATGTTCAGGCACATGGGGTGCACTAAAAGTATGTTCCTGCTTTTGACTATTGGTTCTCAACTGTGGGTGCAATCTGATGCATTTATCCTGCGGGTGTCCAAACATCTTGCAGTGCTTGCAGTAGTAAGGTTTTTGTTCCATAATGATTTTTTACCAATAACCATTGTGAGCATATCCAAGCCAGACTTTTTCTACATCTGATAGTGTAATATCTCTTTCAATCAAAATACTTCCAATAGAGGGTCTTGAGAAATGAACTATATATAAGTCTACCTGCAATGGGTTTTCAAGAATAGTCCCAATTGCATATAAGATAGGTAAGTCAAAGAATTGAAGCTTGCGTTCAGGTAATGAGTTCAGGTAATGAGAATGCTTGCGTTCAGGTAATGTGAATCAGATATGTGCAATTGGGGGTTCTTGACTGGGATCAAAATTAAGGGTCCATTTGAGCAATTTCATATGTTTTCCCTCGATTGTGATGAATTTTTTTTGGGAAAATCCTCGTATAATCTTCTTCTATGTTTAGCTGTATCATAACATGCCTTCCGTCGAAATGACCCTCATGTCAATCCTTAACTAGTTTGAAATCTTAAAAAATCTTCCTGATAATCTTCATCTTAGGGCTACCTAATTGGAACTTTCCAACTAGTGTAAATTTATATTTTCCTTCACAAGTTATAATTTTAGCGTCAAAGAAGAAAATTGTTGGTTTGCCCGTCTTTTTCTCTACTTTTTTTGATGAGATTGCAATCGTCATTTCCTGCAACATAATTATGGTACATCTGCGGGAATACCAGACTATCTACGAGATGGAAATGATAGCTGCGTTTGTGAACCACTCTAGCATAGGAGGGTTTTGCGGGATTATCACCGGCGACGGCGGCAGTGTAGAAAACCCTGTGGCCATTAGCCTGCTTCACACAAACACTGCAACAAATGGCGCAACTGACACACGAGCAGATGAGCAGAAACGACGGAGCAGTCGAGTGGACTTGAGGAACCTGCAGCGCGAAGCGCCGCAAACAGCGAGATAGGCGAGAGCAGACGACGTGATGACGTAGCAAGCGAGCAGGCTCGACGACGCGAACTCCTCCGCCAGTCAGAGTCGAAGATGAAGACAGAAAGGATCGAAACGACCGAGAGAAACAGATGTCTGTTTCGAGCTAGGGTTCGCCATGAGCGGAAACCTTAGCAGAGCGAAGAAGAAGACCCATCGCACAATCAATCATATATATTATATACATATATACATACATTCATACATATGTACATACATATGATGCTAGCCATTTCATTATAGGAGACACAAGTGTTGGCAAGAATGGAGAGAATTAGTGACACAGGGCTTGGGGCCTAGTTGAACTGGCCAATAGGTTCAACAGAGGAGTGTCTCGGTTCAGCGGGAGGCTGGACCGGCCTTCCCTACCATTCCCATGGGGCAAGAGTACCACCCAAATTCCTCTCCCTTCCTATTATATTCCATTCCTATTCTATTTCCTTCATATTATTTTTCATTCCTATTCTATCCTCTTCCTATTCTAACTACTATCATCTATTATATATATAATGTTTGTTTGCTTAGGGTGCAATTTTGATTGTCTTTGATTTTAGGTTTCTGCCTCTGGGGCATTTCTCCCTTTTTAGGGTTGTATCCGAGGCGGCGAGAAAGTGCTCCAACTGTAACTCATTGATTATCTCCTCTTATTCCCCTCTTCCTGCTGCCGCCCAAGTCCACTAGCATCTCCCCTGTTCGCAGCCCCCTTCCCGCCAGCCTCCTCCAACCCGCTCAGCTCTGCCGTACTTCGCTTCAACCCTTTCCAGCAGGCTGCAATTACCTCTAACCCTTCTAGATCTACTGTACTTCCCTCCTGTCCCATTCTAGACCTGCCACAGCCCTTCCCAAATCTTCCAGATCGGGCCACAACTCCCTCCAACCCTTCCAACTGCTGCAAGATCCCTCTCCAACCCTCCAACCGCTGCTGCATCAACCTAAGCAGTCAACACAATGCTGACCAGACGGTGTCAGCTGCTCTCAACCTAGATGATCGTTTGTGCATTTTGTTTTATTTTATTCTTATTTTGACGAGTCGTCATTGTAACATTTAAATTTCAACAATAATATTTCATTTCTATTGTGATTTGGGTTAACTCCGGTATCAATTAATAAAGAATGTTAATATAGATGTTACAATGATGATAGATGTCCTTATCAATATTTTGGCTCTTAGTTAAATGACCGAAGGTGCGCTAGTTTCGCTTGCATGACATAACATTGAGATGGAATATGGGACGAGCGTTTGAAATGAAAGTTGATAAGGTCAGCAGTTGTGGTTAACATCATGATTGAGCATAGATGCTCATATGTGCTAACATTTTTTTTTTTTTTTTTGTGGTAAATAATTAATTTGTTCTTTAGTGGCTCACGTGGTGCTGAAGAATTTATAATATTTCAGCATAGAAAGTTTCGATAAAGTTTTGTTGGCTCTCTAGGTTACGAGGCAAGGAAAAGCCCGCTGTCTTATGTTAGACATGTTGAAAATGATATGGCGCGTGGTGTGTAGCAATAAGGTACTTATGTGAGAACCCATAACTGTATTGTAGATATCTCTATTTTAGGATGATGATATTATTCATCTCTCCATGAGAGTTTGGGAATTCAAATTGATGATAATGTTAAAAATGCATACATACAAATACTCCCACATATTTTTGTTTGGGGAAACATTGAAAAAAAAGTACTTTGAACATGCTTATGCGTTTCTTATGATACCGTATGATTAAGTTCTTCTAAAGATTTAAAAAACACATAATACTAAATGGTGAAATTCTCTTAAAATTAGTTATGTGGCATAAACTTTCATACTTATCTATAACTATTGAAATTTCAATCAGGAAATGAGTATAAAAAAAAAGCTAAAAAGGGAAGCACTGCATTTATTTGAAATCACTGTAGTAGGTTGAGGTGTGGGAGGTGAGAAAAATGGAAATGTAAGATTCAACCATAAGATAAATATAATATAGATAGATTCTAAAATGGTGGATATGATACTAAACTTGGGGAAAATATTAGTCTTGAAAGTAAGATATGAATATTTTAAAATAATGTGTGAATAGGTCTATGTGGAAAGTGAATATATGAATATGCATAGTGTTAACAACTATATGCAATTTACAAATACAAATATCGTAAATTCCAAAATAGACGAGTATTGGTATGTGGCCAATATAGTTCTAGAGTATTATATTCTTCAATTTTGTCCATCAACTATACAAAATTGATTCCGACTTAGTCAATGAGTAACCTTTTTTGATTACGTTTGTTTATTAGAAAACTAAATTAGATAAATATGATATCCTAGGATTAAATTGGTCATATACAAATAGTTGCGGGACAATTTTTGAAGTTTAATACAATATATAACAAAATCCCAAAATAGCCTTCAACAATAATATCATAACATAATTATACATTTAAATGTTATTATATATATGTGTGCACCTGAAGCTAAAGCAATGAGCGGTAAATTTGTCTTCCCTTTCTGTAATTTTTTTTTGAACTTATTACTATATTTATGATTTTTGTGAAGAGGATGTGCTAGCTAAGTATATGGATCTAGCCACTCATTCTTGAAATTTAAATCAGTTATATCATTTGCATGTTGCCTTTTAGTAGTTTAGAGTGTCGATTATTAGAACTTATTGGGCACAGACTTGGCATTACTTTAGAAGTATACAACCTTCATTACTTCATTTTGCTGAATGTTAATAGTTCTAAATACCATACCAACAGGTGAGTTGATCCATTTACTTATTGATAACTCTTTAAGTTATTATAGTGTCTAAAATATACTTTGCATACTTCTATGAAGTGGTATTTAGTGTATTTTATTTTTTGAATATCATGACTTTTGCTTAAAATATTCAATCAAGTCACTATGACACTGATTTATTGTATTAGGTACTCTTGAGGTATGGAAGTAAGGAGCAACAAAAAAAATGGCTTATTCCTCTACTAGAAGGTGAAATACGATCTGGATTTGCTATGACTGAGCCAAAAGTTGCATCCTCAGATGCAACCAACATTGAATGTTCTATAGATAGGTAAAATCCAATGCTAGGTGTGTGTGTGTGTGTGTATTTAAAGTATTGGGTATCTTATAGTTGTAACATCTTTTTATTTTCATATTACTAGCACAAGAATATGTAATTTAGATAATTTTTTTTTATATTTTTGTCAATTGGTGGGTGAATCTTTGGGTTTTCGTAACACGTCCATCCTAGCAACTATACTGGAGCATGTGCATTCAAAATAGGATAAATTACATTTAGGTCCCATCTTTTATGGCTTAATTATGTTTAGTTGCTTCAACACATATTTTGTTAGAATATCATCATAATCAGCCCATCCTCATTAGTCTTAACTTAATTATTAAATACCTCATTCAAAGTTTAAGCACTAATTATGTTTAGTCCCTGTAACACTTGTTTTGTTAGAACATCATCATCATTAACCTTATCTTAGACATTCAATATCTAATGCAATTTCATTTTCAAGAAACTATTTTCTTGTCAAAGTGGAGATGTTGGGATGTGAAATGAGGGAAAGGGCATTTGCCACAGAGGGATAATGGGAGCTTCCTTTGAAGGAGAGTATAAAGGGCATTTTAAGAGGTATGAGGTGGGCAGTGGGAGAGAGAGCGCACACACGTGTGAGAGCACTTCATGAAGATTAAGAGGTTAAAATTTATTTTGATCAGTTGCATCATACTTTGAAGGGAGGGAGGAAGAGCATTTTTAATTCATTCAAGAAGCTTTATAGGCAATAAAAAAATCATACATACAAGACAACGACCATTGTATGATAGGCTTGAGTGTTTGGGAGCAGAATACTTGATCCTCCACGTTTTTCACTTTATGTACGAGTTTTGCAAGCTTAATTCCAGGGGAAAGGTTCTGAAATCCTTGGGATAGGATGATAAAGAACTCAAGAAATGGATAATAAAGATGGGGGGTGGGGGAGTGTCGGCACAAAAAAGAGAAAGGAAGAGATTTCTTTGGGGGGTCGCCCGTAAGAAGCTGTCGGCAGCCGGAATTGAAATCCCATCGCCCGCTTCGGAGGGACGTTTTAATTTACGTATATATATATATATGGTTTTAGAAAAATATGAAATCAAACTGACCTCATATTTTTCACAGTTTAAATGAAAGAGCGCTCTACCTCAAATCCTGTATCTATCCCGAGGGATAAACACAAGACTTGAGTATGAGGCTCGATCAAATAAACTAGGAAAACATATGACATCCGTTTGGGTCTGCGAAACCGTTTTATTTGCCGACAAGTTCCCCTATT